TAGCAGCAGTGTGAATTACTTCAGTGAATGGTCTGTGATGGAGAACCAAAACAATTCAAATTATAATTATAATAATCAGATCTTGCCTGATTTCCATTTCAATCTGGTTTCAGTTCAATTTGGCCTGGCTTGGACCGAGTAATTGCCCACCCCCTACCTTTCAAACTCTTAACATATTCTTTCCAAAAAAGAATCGAACTTATGCTTCTTGTAGTTGAAGTCTTTCCATACTTTTTCACAATTCCCTAATAGCAGTCTCTCAACCTTCTGAAATTCCTAGGGGGTGATGATCAGTCATGGCAACATTGTGGCCACAGTTGCAGCTGTTATGACAGTGATCCCAAACCTTGGGAGCAATGATGTGTACCTAGCTTACTTGCCACTAGCTCATGTTCTTGAGCTTGCAGCTGAGGTAGATGATTCTTTCAGTCTGCAGCTCCTTTCCTTTTTTCTTTTCAATGTTTGCATTCAAGTCAAATTTCTTTTGGTGTGGTTTTGGGCAGTCTGTAATGCTGGCAGCTGGCTGTGGAATTGGATACGGGTCAGCATTGACCTTAACAGACACTTCAAACAAGATCAAGAAGGGAACTCCAGGGGATGTTACTGCCCTTAAGCCGACTCTCATGGTCGCTGTTCCTGCTATATTGGACCGTATTAGAGAAGGCGTGCTGAAAAGGGTAGGGTTTTATGTTTTATTTGGAAGGTAATTTTAAGTGGAAGAAAGTGAAGGTGTTAAAGGTGTAGGTAGTTTTTAGTTTGCTGAACATAATCCAATTCAAGACGGAAAGTGTAAAGTACGTGATCGTTTTGGATGATGGATTCTATGGATGAATTGTTGCTTGAAACCCATCAGTTGATAGATACAAAAAATGTATCGTTTCAAGTTTGATTTCACCAGAAAAGAAGATATTCTTGGATATTTAAATGGAGAACCTGTTTGGTATGATGAACTGCTTTTTTCCTTTCAGGTAGAGGGGAAAGGAGGTTTGGCAAAGAAGCTTTTCCACATTGGATACAAAAGACGGCTGGCAGCCGTAGAAGGAAGCTGGTTTGGTGCATGGGGACTTGAACGGATACTTTGGGAAGCCATTGTTTTCAAACCAATACAAGCTTCGCTTGGGGGACGTCTTAGATTCATGCTTTGTGGTGGAGCTCCTTTGTCTGCAGATTCACAGAGGTTCATCAATGTATGCATGGGGTAATGAGTTTTCTGTCACCTTTTTTTCATAAAAGCTTAGAGGCTGGCTGGCTGGCGTTGAAGTTAAAATGCTTTCCAGATACATCTAAAGTTTTATCTAAAGTCCACCATGCTCACACAATGGTCTCCTTTAGGGCTCCCATTGGACAAGCATATGGTTTGACAGAAACTTCCGCTGGAGCTGCATTTTCCGAATGGGACGACACTTCAGTAGGTCGCGTTGGACCGCCTGTTCCTTGTGCCTACATCAAGGTTTGGACTACAGTTTTGTCAGCAGATCGTGGTCATGTATCAACAATATGTAAGATCTTTTGAGAATAGTCTTCGAAGTGATGTGCTTTTTTGGTATCTGCAGCTTGTTTCATGGGAAGAAGGAGGCTATACAATAGCAGACAAACCGATGCCAAGGGGAGAGATAGTAGTTGGGGGAAACAGTGTAACTGCCGGTTATTTCAACAACAAAGAAAAGACTGATGAGGTTTACAGGGTAAAACCCTAAACCGAAATATCGATTGCTCATCCTTTCGTGGAAAGTTCCCCTCCAAACAGCAGAAGCGAAAAACTAACTTGGTTTATTTCTTCTTCTTTCAATGCCATCAGACCGACGAGAGGGGAATTCGCTGGTTTTTCACAGGTGACATAGGGCAGTTTCACCCTGATGGATGCCTCGAGATCATAGATAGGAAGAAGGACATTGTTAAGCTTCAACATGGAGAGTATATCTCACTTGGAAAGGTTTGGGAGCAGAGATATCTTTATCTGTTTATTGACACAAAAGCAAGGATATAGTGTTATTATTTGGCTCATATTGCATGGTGGCTTGTCCTCTGATTGCAGGTTGAAGCAGCTCTATTGACAAGCAACTATGTAGACAACATCATGGTGCATGCAGATCCACTGCAGAGCTATAGCGTAGCTCTGATCGTTCCATCACGACAAGTGCTGGAGAAATGGGCTCAAGGGGCGGGAATCGACCATCAGGACTTCGCCGAACTGTGTCAGAGAAATGAAGCTGTTGATGAAGTTCAGAAGCAACTTTCCAAGGTTGGTTTGCTTCTTTATTTTCTTTTCTTTTTTCCTTTCACTTAGGGAGGCTGGTAGGCATAAATTTGGCTATGCAGGTAGCAAAAGCTGCAAAGTTGGACAAGTTTGAAACTCCAGCAAAGGTGAAGCTACTCCCGGAACCATGGACACCAGAGTCGGGATTAGTGACTGCAGCTCTCAAGATAAAGAGGGAGCAGCTGAAGTCTAAGTTTAAAGATGATCTCCAGAAGCTCTATAATTGAATCGACTGGCTTAGACAGACAGGTTTCATGGCTTCAACTGTTATATTTGATAGCAACTACTTGAGGGTTCTTGCAACCTTATCTAGATCTTCTACAGATGTCTGTTTTTGGTGCTTTTGAGTTCTGAGAAGAGATGTTTCATGTGAAACCATTATGCAACACTTTTGGCTTTCATATATTCTGATGACGTAAATTGAATGGCTCGAAAAGCAATTTTCAAGGCAGTACATGTGTTCATATCTCCCTGCCTTATGGTTTGAATTTCTAACCTCTATACAATCAGACATCTATCTCGGAATTACAACTTCAGCCATCAGGAAGTCGACACTTGTCCTCCCTAAAGCAAGAAGTTGCTCAGCTCGATTCGAGACGGGTAGCCAAAAGCTTGATAGATTCTTCCTTGAGCCATATCTGAAATTGCTTTCACAGCTGTGCCGAGAATTGATTTGAATGCAGAGAAGCAAAGCTTGAAATTTGGATGTCTACTCTGGCTCTGAACGGGCTGCAAGTTCTGATAATGATGGCCGTAGGACCAAATATAAAGCTGGACCCAGGAATGGAATCAACGATAAAGGAAGGAGCCAAGCACCTTTGTCAAACCTGTCGAAAAACAATCATGAAATCTGATTTCATGGTAATAAAGAACTTGCTCTAAAGATTTCAAAGCAGAAATGAACCTCACCATTTTCGAGCAGTCATATCATTGTAAACCCAGAAAGGAGCGAACAAAGACAGCAGAGAGAAATCGAGGGATGTGATGTGAATCTGCAGTAAATACGTGAGCGAAGCATCCAATATAGCAGGACAAAGAACGAGGCTATTAGATCTTTGGTTCACCAATGGCACATGGTGAAGCGAAGAAGAGAAAGATAAATCTAACAGGAGTTGCTTACAAATTTGCTCTCCCTGAAGTACTGCAAAAATTCGCCCCAGTCATCAATTGAAATTCCTGCACGGATAAACAGGCCTAGTCCGGCAGCGAGCAAAACCTGTTGTGATAGAAGACTCAAGCATCCATTCCAAAAAATGACTCACCAGGAAAAATGGTACAAGGAACAATAGAAAGGAAGGAGCAAATACTCGTGAACAAGACAACAATCCATAGAAGAGTAGACTTCTAGAAACGGAAAAGTTCCACAAAAAGGAACAGAGATACATATTGACACCGCTGCAATTGAAGGTAATGAACTATGACTCTTCAAGTGGCCCGACGGGCATAAGTTCAATGGCAAATGGGAACGAAGTCAAAGAATCAAGGACGAAAACTTACAACCGCAGTCAACTTTGAGTCCATAACATTCAAAGGCCATCTCTTGAGCTCACTTTCTTCAACAGAAGGTGGAGGAGGGTTCCAGAGAACGAAATACGGCATAAGGGCATAAGCACCACCGAAGCAAGAAAGTACAAGGAAAGGCCACACTGGAATCTTGCTCTTTGAGCTGCCAAATTGCCACAATGGGACTCACAATCTCTCTGAAAATCAGAAACCAAAAGCCTTACAGAAGGGAGAGCTTGGGATTTTTACCTTCTTCCAGTTGGAAGGAGAAGCATGCTATAAGCTAAAGGCCACAAACCCATGATGTACCATAAGGAAACGAGAAACTCATTCATCCTAAACCCATCATCTCCCTTCAAATTGCACAGCTTCAGCAAGAAATACATATCTCTCGACTGCATAAGAAAGGGTGAACCTGTCTCGTTATCAGTAATAATAGAGCAAATACTGCCCCAAAATGGCAAAACCCATTGAATTGAGTATAGAGGAACATTAAAATGCCTCAAATACTTACCGGAGTCTGGTTAGGAGTGAGATTGAAGACATAGTACAAAATTCCGCCCCAGAACACAAACAGCAAAATTGAGCTAGTCCAATCCCTACTCTCTCTGGCGCCGACATCCTTGCTTTCCTTCAAGCCCTCCTGCTCTTTCTCTGGATCATCCGGCGATTTCAGAACGCTGCGGCATAATTGGATGGAACCCTTCCTCTGAATTGGGAAATTCGCGTTGTGTTTGAGTAAAAATGGCTGGTTGAAACCTGCTTTCGGAAGTAAACGCGGCAACTTTGGATGATGGAGAGATTGGGTTTGGCGCGAAGATGAACTCCTGGGTCTCAGATCAAAGGACTGAGAGGAGAAGTTGCAGGAGATGAGATGGAGATTCGCCAGCATTTTCGAAGCGGAGACCCTTGGTCAGATTTTTGTAGCGGGAGCAGTTGAAAGCTTTAAAATGTCGAAGCAAAAAGCTACTGAATACTATAACGCCACGTTTGGCAGTGGGTATGGCAATTGCATAGGACTGATAGAAGAGTCTCGTCTTTCATGAAAACACAAAAACGACCCTTTGCCGCTTAGCGCAAGTCTTCCCAACGACGGCGTTTTTGAGGACAGAAGTGCTTTGGCGGAGGAAGATATCCAGCAAGTTCTCTGCTAAGGGATAAGATGATCAGTACACGTTCAGTCCGCTCTCCGTTTCTCTTTCCCGCCTCCAGAAAGTAAAAACCTCTCCAGACTCCAGCCATGGCCGAAGCTGCGCGGGTCTTCCACACGACTACATTCGTCCCTTCATTCAATTCACTGCACAAAACCCAGAAACCCAAGCCCTCGTTTGTCTCCCGAAGCACCGTACGCCGGAAGTTCCAGTCTTTACGCTGTTCGTCGTCGCTGGAAAGCGCGACCACAGCGATGACGACGAATAATCAGGAGGTACGATGGGGATGCGACATCGATTCTCCGGAAAACGCTCTAGCTCTGCAGAAATGGCTTTCAGATTGCGGGTTGCCTCCTCAGAAGATGGGAATTGAGAAAGTGGAAGTTGGGGAGAGGGGTTTGGTAGCTTTGAAGAACATTAGGAAAGGGGAGAAGTTGCTCTTCGTGCCTCCTTCTCTCTTCATCACCGCCGATTCAGTGAGTCAGTTTCTCCTTTGCTTTGTTTTTTTTCTTTCTTTTTCTTTTCTTTTGGTTTCTTGGGCTGATTTCAATTGGAAGCAGAATTTCATGTCAAGTTTTTCCTTCCCATGAACTAGCAATGGAGCTGCCAAGAGGCAGGTGAGATTATGAAGAAATACTCAGTGCCAGATTGGCCATTGATAGCAACTTATCTGATTAGCGAGGCAAGCCTTGAGAAATCATCTAAATGGAGCAATTACATTGCTGCTTTACCTCGCCAGCCTTATTCTCTCTTGTACTGGTAAGTACGTCCTTTTGGGTTTGAAGAGATTTTATTTCTTAATAAAGAAAAGAAGGTTCATTATCTCAGTTTCTTCTTCTGCCTACAGCATCTATGTGTCGTTTTCAGGACTCGTGCAGAACTAGATAGGTATCTTGAAGCATCACAGATCAGAGAGCGGGCGATTGAGAGGATTAACAATGTCATTGGAACGTAAGCTTTTTTTGCCTTTTGTTAGCCTTGTTTATGGTTCTGTTTTAAGTTCTTCTGCCATGTTATTTTTTAACTGCAACAGATTTTGTTCCTTTTGCAGGTATGATGATTTGAGGCTTAGGATATTCTCCAAGCATCCTCAGCTCTTTCCTGAAGAGGTAATTTCTTACATTTCAGGTCTGCATATGGAATGTGTACTGGTCTAGGTTTATGTAAATGGGAATGGTTTATAGAGATGTTCAAGTTCCTTTCTCTCTGGAGGTGTCAAATGCTGGGTTTTGATAGGGTTCAAGTTGGTTTAATCAGGTTACAAGTCAATGGGGTTGTTGGTCAATTGGGTAATGTGTTGATTGCTCATATGCATGATTTGCAGGTATTCAACATTGAGTCCTTCAAATGGTCATTTGGCATACTCTTCTCTCGCTTGGTTCGTTTGCCGTCAATGGATGGAAGAGTAGCCCTGGTTCCCTGGGCTGACATGTTGAATCATAGTTGTGAGGTATAAGTTGCTTACTTTGCTTACAAGTTTGTTTAAATTCAATGGCCAACTTTGCATGACCTTTTGTTATATAGGTAGAGACATTTCTGGATTATGATAGATCATCACAAGGAGTGGTATTTACAACTGATAGAACATATCAGCCAGGTGAGCAGGTAATGCAGATTTTTGTATCAAAACTTTCCCTTCAAAAATTTGGTTAAAGATCCCTACTTTAGCATTCATTTGGGAACATTAATTGCAGGTGTTCATATCGTATGGGAAGAAATCTAATGGAGAGCTGTTGCTCTCTTATGGATTCGTTCCAAGGGAAGGTACTAATCCCAGTGACTCGGTGGAATTGCCTTTCTCACTAAAAAAGTCTGACAAATGCTACAAGGAGAAGCTAGAAGCTTTGAGGAAGCATGGTTTGTCTGGGTGAGTACTGAATCACATATTTTCATTCCCCTTTCTCAAATGAGCAGGTTACATCGGGTTCATTTGGGTTTAGTATGGTCATGGACAATTGGATTTTGGGTTAATAGAGTTACAAGTCATTCTGTTTGTGGTTAATCAGATCGTGGGTTGATTGGTCCACTGGTTACCGCATCGCCTTTTTTTATCAACTGGGGTTGTCGAGCGAGTTGGGTTAGAGCAGGTTGATCTGCTTGGAAAATATTTTGAATATTCTAGATATGAGAAGTATTAGATAGATGGCGAGTTGGGTTAACTTCAGGTTTGGTTTAATGATTGTGAGTCAATCTGGTCACAGTTCAATCTGCGTCAATTGGATTGAGAGTCAATTGGTTTACAGGTCAAGCAGGTTACGGGCGATGACATTTTGGCCAACTCGATTGAGAGTGTATTGGACAGTTTATCTTGTCGGACCAGATTTTAACAGTTAACATCCCTTTTGGTTTAACTTTTACTCCGCCGTGATCATTTAAGAAGAATGTAGACTTCTAACACTTGCTTGTCAACAAACAGGTCACATTGCTTTCCCATCCGTGTCACTGGCTGGCCACAGGAGTTGATTGCATATGCTTACTTAGCAGTCAGCCCTCCGAGCATGATCGGACAGTTTGAAGAGGTTTTTACCATTTTGGTCTTTCTTCACTTCTGCAAGCTGATTCCTCTACTAGTTTATCCTGACCAGTTAGCATTTGTCAGATTGCAGCTGCTGCATCAAACAAGACAGCCATGAAGAAAGATAAACCATATCCCGAAATTGAAGAACAGGCACTGCAGTTCATATTGGATAGTTGTGAGTCAAGCATATCAAAATACACCAAATTCTTACAGGTAAGAAAGATTTTGATGGCAACAACTTTCTCTACTATATTTAACTGAACTTCTTGCTCTCAAAACCTATGTCCATTTTGGGTCAGGCTAGTGGATCAATGGATTTGGATGTGACATCTCCAAAGCAAATTAACAGAAGGTTGTTCTTGAAGCAGCTCGCTGTAGACTTGTGCAACAGTGAACGAAGGATATTGTACCGAGCTCAAGCTGTGAGTCTCCTGAATATTGCTTATGTTTTTTTCCATTAATTATTCTCTTGACTTCGTTCTGATTGATGGCGCGTAATTACGAATTGGGATGAGAACAGGTATTGAGAAGAAGGTTGAGAGACATGAGGAGTGGGGAACTGAAAGCTCTGAATCTCTTTGATGGCCTCAGAAACCTCTTCAAATGAAGTGGTGTTTGCCCCATTCCCCTACTTGTGCAGCAAATTATAGGACAAATGATTTCTTCAGCCAAAAGGGTTTCAGCTTAAAGGAAGAAATCAGACGCGAAGGGCTGCTAAATTCTGGCTCCGGCAGCTGTTCCTTAGTTCCCTCTGTTTCAGGAGTTTGTAATACAACCAACCCTTTCCTGTGTAAATTTGAATTTTCCTACATGTGGGGAAGCAAGATTGATCACCAAGTCAAAATTCAAAACTAAATAATAGAATTTCCTTTCGTGTGCGCGATGTACTAAAATGATCACGACGAATGGCCTGTTCTCACTTCTCAGTGGCAGAGGGAATTTTATTATGCTCTCTCCTATGACTTTTTAACCCGCGGTTGACCCAGACCCGGTCGAACTAGTGGGTCAATTGTTTTAGCTCGGTTTAGCCCGAAAATATGGAAAGAGTCATTATATTGTACTTATCCTCATAAATTATATAAAATCTTATCTAACATATGAGTTATAACATATAATATTACACAAAAATAACATATCGTACTTAGATCCAACATATAGTGAAAATTCACACACACTTATATAACATCAATATTCAAATGTTCAACTTAGGATTCCAAAGATTGAGTTAGGCGAAAAGAAAATCGAAAAATAGGCGCATTTCGCAAACCAAAGAAAAAAATGACACAATTTGACCTCCAACCTGGTACCTTGTAGCGGTCGACCTGGCGGATGCATGCGGCCCGTTTTTCTCACCGGGTCAAGGTCAAATTGGGTCGACCCGCGGGTTGACAACCTTTCGTGGTCCCTTTTTTTTTATTATTATTTTGACTAGTCCTCTTTTTCCCCCTCATTTTACCTCGTTTATACCATGCTTTAAATTATAATAGAAGTGCTCCCACATATCACCGTGGTATAGGGAGGTAACTGGTGGTAGGAATGGTCTAGTTAAATTGGACTAGTTTGATAACCATTTCAATATGTCGAACCAAAGGAGGAGTTTCAAGAGGAGTCACCTATAAGAAATGTTGATGACTAGACCAACATGGATTCCAGCTTACAAAAAGAGCAAGATGCCCTCATCATCCAAGAGATCGTGGAGGAGTTCATCAAAGAAGAAATACCATCTATCCCAGTGGATGAAACTTCAAACCACACCCATCAAGAGTTCAACTCGAGTTGGCAGAAGAAAATTGATGATGACCCATCACTTCGATTTTGGAGAAGAAGGAACATTTACATCACCCTCTACAACAATGAGAAAGAGCAAGGAGTAGCTGTCCTACCTTAGCTTACCAGTTTGCATAGCGGGAGCAAGAGAGCGAAAGCATTGATTCTTTGAGAAATTATTATTCAGAGCGTGAAAAAAGCGTCAATAATAATATTATTTCTAATAATATTGTATAAAATTTTAAAACTTATTATAACAAGTAATTAAGTGTTTGATAATATTGCAAGAAATAAAGTTGATGTCTTCTCTAATGCGATTTGTTGTTATTAAAAGACTTATTATCACTTTTTCTTTTGGATATGCTTAAGAACAAATATATTAAATAGAAACCAACGAAAAGTAAATATTGAAAGAAAGAAAACCACACTTTGTTTAATGCCTCGTTTGATTAATGGATAACGGTTAGAGTACTCGTAGCACTCTCTTTTGCACCCAAAAAAAAACCACACTTTGTGTTTGGGTCTAGTACACTAGATTGTATTTGTTTCAGCTGGGCTAAGTCTAGACTCCAGACTGTTTGAGAACTTTTCGTAGTGTAAATGTTAGCTGAATTGAATTAGGCGAATTACAACTTGGCCTAACTGCAATCTCAGGGGAATCATACCTAAGTGAGTTTCTAACCTGTAATTAGTAGTCTAACCTCAAGAGGAAAATGATGGAAGCACCTATTCTCACATCACTAAATTGGTTATTAGACTTTGAATTAATGTGTGATGCCAATGACTATGAAGTATGAGCAGTGCTAGGACAAAGATAGGAGAGCCGATTTCACCCTACTAAATATGCAAGAAGAACACTCAATGAAGCCCATAGAAATTATACCACTACAAAGAAAGAGCTCTAAGCAGTTATAATCGCGCTTTAAAACTTAAAAACTTATGTTTATACGTTTCTTGGTCACCAAAACGCTTCTACACAAAATCGCAGTTTTTGTAACTAATGTAGTAAAAAATGCTTCTACGTAGAAACTCGCTTTTGACTACATTGATTATGAAGGATGTGATAGTCAATGAGATATAATGACCATTTGTTGTATCTTCTGTAAATGCAAAAATTACCTATCAAGACATGGTTGAATCTTAAGAAATTTGTCATACTATGTTCAAAAATAGAGTGTGGGGTAAGCCCAACATGTGAGACATCTTTTCATTCCACAAAATAGGATTTTGGAAGAGATACTAGTAGTTGTTAGTGACCATGTTCGAAGCTAGTTCCTCTCTAGTACAAGTAAATTTTCACCCACTGAATTAATATCCAATTTGAGGATGTGTTTTTAAGGGCATGGATAGAGCTTCCGACGCCCATTAATTTCATTGATCCTCCACGTGAATTGAGGTATAAGTGTTAAAAGAAGTACTATGACGATGGGAGAGATAAATAAATTGTTGTTGCTCGACCAATAAAGGTCTAAATCAAACTCACCCATTCACACCATTACACTCTGCAAATTACAGGTTAGTCACCAGCCGCTTTACAACATTCAAACTACACTCCCAATTACTAAGAAGAGAATGGGAGTTTGGAATTCCCTACTGCAGAATTCGGATGTGAAAGCTATGTTTTGCTTTGCCATGGTAGTTAGTCTGGGTATATGAAGAAATTAGTTTTGGATTTTGAATTAATTGTTCCCTTAATAGATTGATTGAAAATTATTAAGGGAGGCGGATTATGAAGAAATTAAGTTCATTTTTTATCCGAATCTTCCTCTTCAGTTGATTTCTGAATATGCTCATCCCTGTTTCTTCTTTACTTTTTTGCAATTTTGTGGCAAAGGAACCATGCCTGTAAATCTAAATTGTGACTTAAGTTAGGAGTTCGAGACCAGTGTCTTAGAAAAAGCCTTTCATACGCCCAAAACAGATGTTCTTCTTCCCTGCCTAAATGTTTATATCAGGTAATTTATCACTTCAATCTCAAGTAATTCCCATATATCGTCTCTTTGGTTCTGATTTGAAACCAATACACTGTTGAACTATAGCTGCCCTAATGTAACAGATTCGAAGTTAGAGTAAAAATCGATGGTGATGAATCCCGAAGAGTTGGAAGAGTGGAAAAGTGATAGGAGTCAGCAGTTCAAGCAGTATTGTAATGTCCTCATCAAACTCCCAAGCAAGGCAAGCACCAGTACGAATTGATAGTTCCATAAATGATTTTCTTGATGGTTGATATATAATTGTGATACATTGTTAAATCATCTGAACGTTTTGAAAGCTTTGTGATCAAATTCATCACTGTACTTTGATATATAGTAATCCAAATTAATTCTTTTGGGGTTTATTTGTTGAATTCCTTCAACCACGTTACCCACATTGTGTATACTATTTGTTTTCTACAGGTTATAGTCTTTGATCACTTAAATGAGCACTTCTATTATGCTATATAGCATTGGTGCTTTAATGTACACCTTAAATTTGTACCATAATATTAAATGTATAAGTTTAGGTTGTACCATAAAGCAATTTGTACCATTATGTTATGGTACAACTTTACAACTTGAAGTTGTACCATCACATAAAGGTACAAGTTCAAGTTGTACTATAAAAGAATTTGTACAAAAAGTATAGGTACAATCTGAAGTTGTACCATAACGTGAATGTACAATTTTAAGTTGTACCATAGAAGCAAAAATCAATAGCACCAATACTATATAGCATTGTAAAATTTATCCACTTAAATGCAAATTATGCAATAGATTTCGCACTCATGAGGAGATAATTTCTTTGTTTATAAGCTAGCATGGGTACCAACCATACAATGCATCCACATATGTTTAAGAACTTTAATGACAAATGCCATATTTTCACAGGACAATGAAACAGAGATTGAAGATACAATCTACATGAACAGCTCCGCAACCAGATCTACATCGAGTGAGGCTATTGCTACATCACCATTGCTAACGACTGTGAAAAAGAAACTATAACTTGCATTCCAGACAACAATGCAATGGTACAACTCAAACTACAACACAAGCTAACAATGGAAGCACCAAGTTCCAAGTAGCTAACAATGGAAGCACCAAGTTCCAAGTAGGGATGGCAACAAAACCCGAATCCACGGGTACCCACCCGACCCAATCCGGTCAACGCGGGTAAAACCCGTGTTGATCGGTTTTGGGCCGAGTTTGGGTTTAAACCCGCTACACTATTCACCAGGTCGGGTTGGGTTTGGGTTTAGGTAAACCCGCCCCATGGGTACCCGCCCACACACATATAATTACTTTCCCGGTATATTTAATATTCTAAATAATATATCTTCCTTAAACAATTAATATTCTTTATGTTTGTGGAGACATATATAATTTGTTGTTTCTAATTGTTTAGAATGAAGTTGATATTATGAAGTGGAGAGTGAAGAAACTTAGTTGACGAGTAAGAAGCTTTCAATTAATCTTATTGTTTATAGATGTTCATCTTTAATTTTGAACAATTTGTATTGATCATTTGCGGTTTGCTTGTATGCTCTAGATTGGTGTATTTTGTATGAGAAAATTAATGTTAAACTTTTATTTTGAAAGAAACTTGTTATTGTAAATTTTTTACCACAAAACCCCACGGGTACCCACGAACCCGCGGATACCCAGCGGGTTGGGTTGGGTTTGAGTTTTTCAAACCCAGCGGGTTTTACCCCGGGTTTTTTTGGCGGATAAACCCATGGGTTTGAGTTTGAGTTTGACAAAACCCGCCCCAACCCGACCAATTGCCATCCCTAATTCCAAGCCGTGAAAAGTACTTTAGTCCTCGTATGTAGGTTGACCTGAGTTTCTGACTCAAAGAGTTGCAATAAAATGCTTACATGACCCCCACACAATGCATTATATTTGAGCAAATCGACCCGACCAAAGGCCGGGCACAGAGCTAGTAATCACTTAAATGACATACTAAGTAAATTAAAGTGAACCGTTAACTTGTTTCCTTGAACCAACAAACCTTCCTAGTCATACTCTTGTGACATGCCATCGTTGTTTGAATTCAAAAGCCAGTAACCTCAACTTTCACATCTTTTGCTTTTAGTGACAATTCTCTCTTCACACGTCTTATCGACAAGTATTCCTCGCATGAGACAATTATCCCATACTACCAGATCCCCGATTTCACTCTCTGTCGTCATCTTTGTGAAGTGGTTGGTCTCTGTCCATCTCGTATTCTATCTCGAGACTGTCCCGTCCGTCTATGGGCTGCGGCATTAGGTCCGGTCAATCC